CATGAAAAAGAATACTTTCAAATAGGATGAAACGACTCAGGGTTTGAATAAGGTTTTTATTCAACCATAGGTAAGTACAGGAACACTGCACTGTAAAGCACATAAATTGAATTGACATACTAATAGTAAATACATCTTCTTATTCCTTTTTTATTAGTATTCGATCGTTTTTTCATATGCATTGCTTCCCCCACCCCTTTCCCACATCCAGTTTTTCTTCTCCTTGTCTCTGGTCATCTTGCACATTAATATTCTATCCTGCAAGATCATGCAAATAAATAATCTAATTCAACAATCAATTCAACAACTCCTCCCTCCTAGTGGAGCTGGAGTTTCTTAACATCCATGCAGGATCCCTCTACAACAGAAACATATTTCGCTTGTTTGAACACTACATTAAACAAAAACTAAAACTTTTGACCAATAAAATCCTCCGTTACGAAAAAAAATTCTCGGCTACAATACAAATGAAAAATTATGGAATACAAACAAATCTTAGAATACAAATAATCTTGAAATTATACAATGTGAATGGAAAATATAAAGTGCAAATGAAAAATTGTGCAATTCATATGATGTTTTTTACAAAACAAACGGAAAATGTAGAATTAAAACAATAAAAAAAATATACAATACAAAAAGACAATTATTGAACACAAAATAAAATTATACAGTGTACAAAACAAATGGTAAAGATCGAATATGCCAGACTAAGTAATCTTTCTACATGTTTGCACAATACCTTTTTACAGGGAATGTAATCTAAGGAAATTTGAGTTGGAATGAGCTTATAATGTGACCCAGACAGAGAAATCAATGCAAGATCATTCGAAAGCGTCCACTGCATATTGTTTGAAAACTTAAATTAATGCAGTTATCAAATTTAGGTAGCTGTCAATGAAATATCTTCCTATTATACCTCACTACCGCGTCTCAAAAATTTATTACATACCATCCTCGGTCAAATCAGAATGTCCTTTCTATTATTTAATGAATAAGCCTTCGCTGTAATATTCCCTGGTATTTCAGATGTGTTTCTTTTAATATCCAAACCTAAACAGCCGAGGAGTTTCGTAGTATCAAAACAAGGTATGAAGAAGGTCGTGTTATATATATGATTATTATACTTTCATGTTAAATACTACAATCTGATTAGTTAAGACGCAGTTACCAATCCGTTCTATTACCCTCAGCTGTAGCAACGCACGTGGCAACGGGTATCACAACGGTAATGCCACATGCGTAGAAATTATGCGCGTACGGTTCACTGTAGAATTTTCAAAACGTCAGTTGCGCGTTTGAATGAACCGGAATATACTTGACGTCAATAAAAGCTTGTTTCCGATGTAGCTTACTTGAAAACAACAAACGACAGACGAAACATGCTTGTGAGTGCAGAAATAACGAACCATTAGCCTAGATGATATAGGACTCTTAGAGTATCAAATGAACAATAAAGAGGTCAGTAAATCTTTTTCGATGTAGCGATAAATACCAGTCCATGCTGCCTTTGTCTGAGAAGCCCTCCTAAATGTTTCTTTTGCAATCATTTGAACTTTGTGTGTACGCTTTTGTTTTTTTTTTTTGTTTTTTTTTTTTTTATCTATTATTATTATTATTATGTTCTGTGATGTCCTTATGTGTGCAAGGCATATGAATAGCTGCATGCTTTCTATGTTGCTTTCTTTGCTGTTCAGTTCTCATTTCTGTCAGTGTTTGTAAATGTTATGTACTGTACTGCGCTTTATGGATTTTCTTACTTTTAACAGTCATATATTATTTATTTCTCTCAATTATTATTTTAATCATCATAATCAGTGCTTATTTGGACTGTAATAGCCATCCGTGTGCAAAACAAAGTATGCTGCTGCTTCTTTTTTTTAGTCTAGTTTTGTTCTAGTACATGTGATTTTTGTTTTCTTTATCCCTAAAGTGTCATTTTAAAGGGCTTCATTTAAATTATCTTTTGTTTTACTAACATTGTATATATTTTTTACTAATTTTTATCTTTGTGTAAATATGTTAAAGTCGGTTAAAGAGCTCACCACAGCTCATGTTTATTTCTGTTGAATTGTATATATGTACCGACTATAAATAAAATTACTTGACTTGAAATTACTTGACTTGGGGAGCTTGAAAGCTTTCTAAACATGAACGTAAAGACGATCGACGATTTTTTGCTGACATCCCAAATCAAGAATACACTCAGTATAATAAAATAAATGGTGCCTGTTTTTGGAGGGTAACAGCTGAAATTTTCACCCCTCGGAAAACCATTGTCAATGGTTTTCCTTGGGGTGCCAATTTCAACTGTTACCCTCCAAAACAGGCACAATTTATATAATGTCACCTATGCTAAATGCAACATACATATACGAGGGGTAATCAAAAAGTTCGTGGACTGAGGCTATAAAATTGAAACTATATAGCCTGTGCCTTTAAATTTTATTTGGAACATAAAAGAACAAAAGATAAAGAAATGTTGAAAATTTCAGCCTGATACGTTAATTACTTGCTAAATTTATTATGAAATAAAAACAACATTATATGATCACCCGGCGCTGTCGCCGTTTAGTTTCATTAAGTCCGACTACGTCATTGTTTTTCAATGTCCGCTTCTTCTACCTCATGCACTTATTTTGATGAGATTCGCTGCAGCTGAGTAAGGACAAAAACCCGCCTTGCTTATATGACTTTACAATGCCATAAACCGTGGCTTTCAATGAAAATAATATTCTAAATGGATATATACATTAAGATAGATCCTCGCTTGATTCTGCATGCATATTTTGCTTTTAGAATTCAATATCTACATTACATGATCAACGTTATTTTTGACGTGATTGATTTTTATACCTTGACTACAAATTGACATAAACTGTACATTCCTCTTCTCTCCGAATCTATTTTGACATTAAAAGTGCTCTGAATGCATATTATTTCTTTGTAGCCAGTTTTAACATTTCTTAGGTCTATATCAGTTTTTTCCACAGGCAAAACCTTATAAAATGTGGGAAAAGGAATCCCTTCCTCCTGTTGACATCATTTTAATGCCTTATTTGTCTGGACACTTCATGTAAAATTTACGATAAAATTTCATAGAACTTCCAGAATGAAGTAAAAATGTCATATCTTATGGAACAATTGTGTCCCAACACACACCTGAATTAATGGTAGTTATGGATATCAAGTGATCAGATAAAGAGAGTTTTTCTCAGTCACACATAGGTCGCAGAAACGTCGTGTTGGAGGTTGTGCCGACTGGACATACCATTGCTTACAAAAACATTACTTATTTGTTGAAAATTAAAATTTATGATTCATGTTTTATTCTTTAGATAGAAAAGATGATGCTGCATAGATATTTCACAATTCACTGATGTTTCTGAAGCAGTTTTAATTTTACGGAGCTAGTCCACGAACTTTTTGATAACCCCTCGTATACTTATCACAACCTACTAATAAGATGTGCCGATAAGAATGGCAGATAAGTTGTCTATACATTCAGATTATACCACGAATATGTAACATAAAAAACCGTAAACACTCGGGCATCACAAATGTTAATGAAACTAGAATCGTATAGAAAGGCTTCAAGAATCTGATAGATAAGTTTTAATATTTATCTTTAACTGAAATGTCATTCGACCTGACCATGAATGGGCTGTCGTTAGTTGTTTTAGAGGGTAGCAGATTGGATTACTTTTTTCAATTAGAATAATTATAAATATATTTAAACTAATTTAATTATGAGATTAAACAGTTGTTTAGAATCATGTTTTCATTGTAATTTCCAAGAAAACATTTCTCTAAAATACACATACATTAAACATATCCCCTGCATTAAATGTTACATGTAATGGGGTTCGAATTTCCGAAAAACAAACAATATTTTCAAAGTTTTAGTAAATTCTTATTTTGTTAGAAAATATTATGATTGCACACACAAGTAATCTGAAGTTGACATCAAAGAGATGCATGAGTTTCTGCCTGACAATATCTACGTGGTTGGAGACCAGGTCTTCCAAAAATCTATTGGAATTCCTATGGGTACAAATTGCGCTCTGTTATTAGGGGGTCTATTTCTATATTCATATGAAGCAGAATCTGTGCAAAATCTTATGCGTGAAAAGAAGAAAACGCTTGTTGGGGCTTCCAACTCGACATTTAGATATATCGACGACGTACTGTCAATTAACAATGGTGATTTCCATTCCTACGTCAATACGATATATCCTGGTAAGTTTGAGAAAAAAGATACCGCAGAGTCTGACACACTGTTTCATACTTGGATATTTTCCTTGAAAAAACATTTATGGTAATCTAACAACAAAGCTATATGATAACGTGATGACTTTTACTTTTCTGTCGCCAACTTCCCTTACTTATGCGGCAATATACCTTCGTCACCTACATACGGAGTGTATATATCTTAGTTGATTCGATACGCAAGAGCATGCTCTACTTATGAACAATTTCTTAAACAAGGTTAATTATTGGCAAGCACGTTGATGAAACAAGAATATCAGCCCTCTCCTTTAAAGTCATGATTTTGTAAGTTCTATAGTCGTTACAATGACCTTGTCAGAAAATACAATTTATCATTGAGTCAAATGCTAACTGATGTTTTTCATACTATTCGTTAGTCCATTATTTATACACTGAATTGACGACAGATTTTCCCGTTATTTCCTGACCATGACAAGGAGCACCTGGCAGGTGTGACTGGTAAGCAGGGGATGTTTACTCCTCCATGGCATCTGATCCCATCTCTGATGTTTCCGGAGGTCCGTGTTTGCTCTGCTCTTATTTCGTATTGTTTTAAATTTAAGATCTGTATTTACTTTGTTTTTCAATTAAAATCCTCGTTTTGATTTTATTTAAAAAATAAAGAAAATCCCAAACAGTTTAACTGTAAATGCTAATTATTGATTCATTAATTCATATTAAACACATGTCATTTTTCAAGTATTCTATGGGTCATTCTATAATTTCTACTCTCAAGAGAAAACATGCTTGCTTTCAAGCCTCCCTACTGCTGCTCTAATATCTCTCATATCTGACAACATTTCTTTCACCATTTCATGCTGACTTTCGACTTTAATTTTGAATATGATATCGTCTTCATCTTTCTCTCTCAAGGCCATTTTTTGGATTTTATTTAGGTCCACCAAGTATGTCTTTCCAGTGAACGTTTCCAATCTCTGGCAGATATCCGACATTGTCGACCAGGTGTCATCGAAATCTGTTTGAGGGGTTGACGCGGAGCTCACATGTGCAGTCAAGCTGTTTCGGATTGACCTGATTCTCTCAATATCATCACCAACTGTAACTTCTCCTGCTGCAGGCTCTTTTCCCCATTTTCCTCTGGTTGGTTTAGGAATCGTTACACAAATGTTTCTTATCAGTGTGTACATTAATGAAATGTCAAAATTTTTATATCCCGAATGCTTAGCATCTAATAAAATATTTTCTTGCTCCGGGCGCAGATTTTTATATATTGATGATGCTATTACTTTGTTATAAACAAGAGAAGGCGGCACCTCCAACTCTAAAATGTCTCTGTATGCCTGATTCAAAACATCATTTGTTGCGATTCCAAGTTTTGCAAATCTAGATCGGTCCCCAAGATTTTGTCCAGAAGGCAATGCAGGTCTGCTAGGGCTCACCTTTGCCTAAAACAAACCTAACACTTCTTTCAAATGCTTAAATCAAATAAGCAGAAACAATTAATAACACTAAAGGACAGATGATACAAACAAAAAATCGATGCCTGGATTGGTATGTATTTTCTGGTCTTATTTCATTGAAAAGGATGTAAAAAATAAATTTCTAGAATGTAAAGAAATTGTAAACCTTCTATGATGTTCAAACTTCTGTTTATCTGAGACCATCCTTATTAATCTATACAAATATTTTTCACTTCAAAGTCCATTTTTGTGAAAATGTGAATAAAAACTCAAAAATTACGAGGTGAAAGTTGTTCATTTTATAGATAAAAACATTACTCAAATTGGCATTTTCACATTTTTTTGACCAAAATTTGTTTGTATCATTTGTCCTTAAAGTAGAATTAGATCAAAATTTTGTAAAATTTTCTGAATTCAAATTTACATCGACATCATAAATTGAAATAAAATTGGAATAAATGAAATATACCGTAAGTACAGAACACTTTATTTCATTGAAATCTGGAATTTTTTCTTATATGTAATATAAAACGTTAAAAAACCAAATGACTAGAGGTAAAATATTCATCTCATAAAATCTTTTTTTTTTCAGAAAAAGCAATTTTTAAATGTACACCTAGAGAGAAAATTTAGAATTAGATATAAATGAACCTGTAGATTGATGATCATAAAATCAAAAGATGCATGTCATAATGCTTAAGAGAGAATGTCACGAACCATCAAGCCTCTTCTATATATATCATGAAAACTTGAAAAATTTGCTTTTTTAAATGGCATTGATAGTGAAACATTTGGGATGCGCTGATAACATTTTGCTATAAAACAGTGGCCTTTGTGAACCGTTACCATGGAAACCAAGACCAAACATCCCCAAGTGTGCAACCATATCGGTGAACGTATATTTACTAATTTTTTCATTTGTAGATACATAGGTGTCACATATTATTAAATCAAAGTTAAAACACATAAGCATAGAAACTTATTCTAATATTTTTACCACTAAACATCACTGGTTAAAATTAAAAAAAATATTTTTATGCCTCTATATTCTAGTTTTGTCTTAAATAATTAAGCCAAAATAAGAATTAAATTCTTTAATCTACAACAAGATTATCTCAATCTGGTATTAAAAATTAAACAAACACTTCCTTTTCTACAAATTTAAGATTCGGCAAAAAAATGAGAAGCATTTGTTGCAGATAATTTTTATGAGCAAATTTTACCTCACTAAAAGCGCTTGAAAAATTCAAAGAGTTACTTCCCTTAGCTGAATCTTTTGTGTAAACAATATGCAATATGGCGGCAAACTTGGCTGATGAGCTCTGTGTTGTTTCCATGGCAACACATAAGAAGGTAGATAAATAATAGTTTTGTTGGTCAAACATCATTTTCATATATGTGAAAGTTGTGTACAATGAACACTTTTTACAACCAATATAAGAAAACAGGAGGTAAACATTTTAAGTTTCCATCTGAAGCTTGATGATTCGTGACATCCTTTCTTAAAGAAGAACGCGTGTCTATGAAAGAAATACAAACTATTCCTGTTTTGGCCCTGTCTGTTCATACTAATGTATACTTTGACTTGAAATTATGCAAGAACAATAAATAGATTAATTTACAAGATCAGATGACTTAATACCCATATCAACAGCGTTCAAGGAAATAAATAACCACGTAACATAATTATGTTTGTTATTTTGTCTAATACTGTATACTTTTTCACAGAAAACTTTAAAAGTTTTTCCCCTTTTTTTTATTTTTAGTATAAGTAGCGGCGCTTGTGACAACACCATACGTTTATTATTTCAAATATTTTTTTTTTATTTTAAAAACGTTCATTGAAATAAAAAAACAAATAACATAGTTAAGCAATGAATCATTATATTTATTCTTCCAATGTTTATGTGTTCTTACAACTGCAGCGGTGTGTGTGATCTAATTGAGTAATTAGAAACGCTTGTTACAAGGTTTTTAAAATATGTTTGCACAAACCGTTGCAGTAATGAAAATATATCTTTAAAAAATAATGTTTCATTGCTTATATTTACATTTTGTTTAACTCTCTTCCTTGAACTGCAATTATGATTTATGTTTTAAAACTAATTTATTATCCTTTTGGTAAGCTACAGTTAATGGAAGATCCAAATTAACAGGTTCTCTTCAATGTGAGAAACCTTTTTTCGGTGTAATATGAGCCCACAAGTTGGTACTTCAGTATGTTCGGTGCGTTCATATTTTTAGTTTACCTTTTTGTGTTATCCATTATTTCAGACAAAAATTGATAATTCAAAAAATAGCATTAATTTTTCTCAAAATGTCGTACATTGACTGAGTGAATAGTGTTTAGTATGAAATAAGGATAGAATGTATCAAAGATGTAAAGAAAAAATATTCAATATTTTGATAGTGAAATCAAATGAAAAGCTTTAATAGAAGAATGCCAAATAAAAAAAAATCTAACCCCTCTAAAACTTTGAAAATAATTTTAGCTATTGGAAAATTGTTTTAAAAAAAATAAAAAGGCAAAGTAACTATAATTTTGTTTTACCTGTTTCCAGTATTTGGTGATTTCTTTTGTGATAATAACATGCTTGTTCTCTAGATTGCAGTACGGACACTGGAGTGTTGGCTCTGTTAGCTCAGTTTCTCTGATAACGTGACTTCTTTCATTATCACAAAATCCGACACGTTTACATTTGAAAGCAACATGGAATTTCAAGTTTCTTTGGAATGTACAAGAAAGAATGTGCAATTCATTCTCAATTTTCTCTTTTATTTCGAAACACGTCAATGTATCAATTTCTCCATCAAGAACAGACACCTGCAACTGAATTTCTGTTGGGGTCATTCCAAGGAGAACGTTGTGGTCCCCTATAAGAAATACAGCCGCTGTCTGGTAAATGCAAGGTTGTTCTTTTCCTTCCTTTTTTTCTTTGACAATGCTCCAAGGAATTTGCATGCAACTTGCTACAAGGCGATGGAAAATGCCCGCAGGAAGAACATCAAATGTGAAGCAGAGGATGGATGAGGAAGGGTTTGATGAGAACGAGTTTCCAGGATATGTCTTTTTGTTCATACAGGGAACATACCAGTTTTTGTCATCCATTTTAACCAATAGCCCCAGCTTCTCCATGTACAGCATGATCTCATCTTTGTGTTCAATGTATTCGTTATCGTTCATTTTCCAAATCCTGGACAGCAAAGTGTCACTCAGTTCTCCCGTGTCATCGAATTGGTCCCACTCAGATGAAAACTCGAGTAAATCCTCCTTTGCGTGATTTTTATCCGTGATTACATTTTTGAACGCATCTGCAAACCATTGAATATCAAGGATGATTACTTCCTTGAGAACATTCTGGTTGAAATACAAAATGTCTCTGATATCATGGAAATACAGCAGCATGATGTTGATATCTTCAACGCTCCCCAGTTTTATATCCGATGGTAATGCTTCATTGAAAGCCATAAGTGTCCTTATGTTGATTATTTTAAGGTATTTCTTTTCTTGGAAGAAGTTTTCAAACATAGCCCATGAGCGCGGAAGCTTTTCACCCCAGTGATCAAGTTTCTGAACAACATCCACAATTGACTCCTTTATTTTTTCGATGCTTTCATTTTCATGAAATCCTATTGCAAACGCCCTATTTTTGTCAAGATGCCCTTGCAGAGACTTGTCTTTTGTTTCCAAAGTTTTCCATATTTCACGGAAAAATTCCACTTTTTCCTAAGAGAAATGTAGAAGAAGGCTTAATTAATTACGAAAGAATCCAAAGGCTTGACATTTTATATGTTGGACAGCTAAAGATGATGAAAAATCATTTCCCTCGTTCATAGCATACTTTCAACATTATGATACATGAAAAGTCAGCAAGCAAACACTTCTAGAGGTTTTTGTGTGGCAAGTTAACATATGTTTTGATTGTTTCAATAATTTTTTTTAATTCTTAAATTCCATACTTCTTAGCCTCTAACCAAGCATCACCTACCATTAGATTAAGATCTTTTTAGATGTTAATGTATAAACATCCAGTGTTCCCCAATTAAAAAGTATGCTTCGTTAAGTGCTTTCCAAATTACTCGGTGACATGGCCTTAAGATCATGACATACGTTCTACTGGTTTTTATTTAACGATTTTAATGTTTTCCATGCCAGTTAATCGTCCATAACCGGTGCATTAATGAAAACTGGAAATACACGGCACACAAAGGTTTATAACGCCGATCTCTGGAAATTTTAAACAGGGGATTTGTTACCTAGGAAAAAAATAAATCGAACAGTATTTAAGATCAAAAGTTTTTAAATCAATCCAAAACAGGAGCAGAGCAACCACGGGCCTCCAAAACGTCAGAGTTGGAATCAGGTGCCATTTAGGAGTGAGTATCCCCTGTCGACCGGTCACACCCGCCGTGTGCTACTTGTCATCATCGGGAAATAACAAAAAAATCTATTGTTAAAAGAAAGCAACCTAAGTTGACTATTGATCACCGCCGTGGGTAATGTATTGATTAAGTACATGTAGATTGAACATTGCCCAGATATCTTTGTGTTAGAATGTTTGATTGTTTGTTTATTGTTTTACATCCCATTGAATTTTTTCATATCCAGACTGACTTCATCGAATTCCATTGAAGGGCTTCAAAGATTTTTTGACATTTACTCGGCACACGGGATCATTGAACAGTGAAGAATCGGGCACTGAATGCCAACTCCTTTCATGAAAGAGGGCCTCGAGTATTAATGTCTCATCCATATGCTTCAATATGCCGAGCCCTCTGCGAAGGAACAATAGCTACCTATTTCGTATCATTTTAAATCATCTAACAACATCCCATAGAGGGTCACGTCGGAGGTGATAGGTCAAAGTCGAAAAAAAAAAACAACTGCAGACGCATTCGCTTCAGCAAATATACGATGATTTCGCGGGGGGCAATTTCATTTGTCGATAGAATTTGACTTCTGACGGTACCCTGAATGGGATGTTGTTAGATCTCAGTGTAGCGAGTGCGCGAGCGGATCTAATATCTAATTGTAATTAGATTGTTAAAATAAAAAGTTCATTTATTCTTTAAAAGTTTTGATATATTGCACATACTATTTTTTCTAATCTATATTTTTTTAGTAAACCCGAGAGCGCCAAAATGAAGATCAAGAAAACTACACCACTCTCTGGTTACATGCAGCTTCATAACACATAGTAAGAGAGCATGTTATTTTTTTTAAATCACATTCGTGTTTATTAAGCTACATCGAGTTTGGTAACAACCGTGATTCCCTGTTTTTATATTGATATTATTTACCTCTTCTGTCATTTTTTCAGCATGAGTACCAACCAGTAGAATTGGAGCCTTTTCACTGCTGTATTGATGAATATTCTTTGCCCAGAAAGATACATAATCTAAATAATCGAAAAAAACAATTATATTCAAATTGGGCCTTATGTTATTCCTCCAATGTAAAAAGGCAGATTTACCGTATTATATTTTTACCTGTTTCCAGTGAAGTCAAAAATGTACATATCAGACTCACAGGTTTTTGTGGACAGGACCCCAATCATATTCAACCTCTTGTTTGAATTCTTTTTCAGAAATTATATTTATTACACTTATCTATCATGTGTACAAAAGAACAAAATCGTATACAACCCAAAATAATTGCTCCACAAAAATACCCCTCTTTACATTATAAGAAATCTCTTTTGTTTTGTTTTACTAAAGTCTAGATTATTTCAGTAATAAGTATAGCTTTTTGGGGAAATGATTCCAGACAGAGGTAGTAAAATGTACTAAAAAACAATATGAAGAAACATAAAACAATTATTTGTTAAAAATTATTTTGCTCTTGCGTTTTCGGATTAATTGTCAGTCTTTCATAAAAAGAATAGTAGAACTACAAATAACTAAATGTACCAAACAATACACATTTACATTTTTAATTTAAAAGTTAAAAACAAGTTATTTGAAAAGAAATTCGGATCCTATGATCCTGCGCTTTGTCGGGTATAGTTTGATGAAGACAAGAAATAAATACAAGAGGCCCAGGGGCCACAGCGCTCACCTGAGCACATCGGGCTTGAATTTACTCCCCCCTTCCAGGCGTTCATCATTTGAACTAACTAGAATCTACACTACCTGAGGATGATTCCATATAAATACCCCGGGTATCACTAATCATAGCTTTGAAGTACTTGAAAAGAAGATTTTAAAAGGTTTCCCTATATATCACTATGTAAAACTTGGGTCGGCCATTTTGGCCCCACCCTATCCCCAGGGCCGGGGGTCATGATTTGAAAAACTTGAAACTACACTACCTGAGGATGATTCCACATGAGTTTCATCTTTCCTGGCCCAGTGGTTCTGGAGAAGAAGATTTTTAAAGATTTTTCCTGTATATTCCTATGTAAAACTTTGGTCGGCCATTTTGGCCCCATCCTTGCCCCACGGGTCACGATTTGAACAAACTTCAATCTACACCACCTGAGGATGATTCCACATGCGTTTCATCTTTCCTGGCTCAGTGGTTCTGGAGAAGATGATTTTTAAAGATTTTTCCTATATATTCCTATGTAAAACCTGGGTCGGCCATTTTGGCCCCACCCTATCCCCGGGGGTCATGATTTGAACAAACTTGAATCTACACTATCTGAGGATGATTCCACATGAATTTCATCTTTCCTGGCCAAGTGGTTCTGGAGAAGAAGATTTTTAAAGATTTTTCCTATATATTCCTATGTAAAACTTTGGTCGGCCATTTTGGCCCCACCCTTGCCCCGGGGGTAATGTTTTGAACAAACTTGAATCTACACTACCTGAGGATGATTCCACATGAGTTTCATCTTTTCTGTCCTAGTGGTTCTTGAGAAGAAGATTTTTAAATATGTTTCTTATATATTCCTATGTAAAACTAGGGTCGGCCATTTTGGCCCCATCCTTGCCCCAGGGGTCATGATTTGAACAAACTTCAATCTACACTACCTGAGGATGACTCCACATAAGTTTCATCTTTCCTGGCTCAGTGGTTCTAGAGAAGAAGATTTTTAAAAGATTTTTCCTATATATTCCTATGTTAAACTTGGGTCGGCCATTTTGGCCCCACCCTTGCCCCGGGGGTCATGATTTGAACAAACTTGAATCTGCACTACCTGAGGATGCTTCCACATGAGTTTCATCTTTCCTGGCCCAGGGGTTCTGGAGAAGAAGATTTTTTTAAAAATGCCATAAATTTTTAACAAATTCATGATTATCTCCCCTTGGAAAAGGGTGTGGTCCTTCATTTGTATAAACTTGAATTCCCTTCACCCAAGGATACTTTGTGCAAAGTTTGGTTGAAATTGGCCCAGTGGTTCTTGAGAAGAAGATGAAAATGTGAAAAGTTTACGACAACGACAACGACGACGACAGACGACGGACAAATTTTGATCAGAAAAGCTCACTTGAGCCTTCGGCTCAGGTGAGCTAATAAAAGCTTATTTGACAAACACAAACCTCTATGTGTCCATTCCTTATAAATGGAGCGTTTCTGACTACACACTTCTTCTCCAACCATTTCATCAAATTGTTTCTCCATATTGAACACCAAAATGAAGAATGCTCGTGGACTCAGAAAAAGCTGGTGTGAGGAATAATATGAACACTGCCCCGCAAAGTCGACCATAGATATTTTTTTCTCTGGTTCATCCGAACCATTTTGGACAACTCTTAAAACTCCTAAACTTTCCGAGTGTTTAGCAATATTTGTATTTCCTTCAACTGATTTTTCTCTTGTTACCGGTACTGGAGCAGCGGCTTCGTTTCCTTTAAGTGACTCGGGTTCTGTGTCTATGCTATCCTGTGACGAGTCTTCATCGTAAGCGGCCTCGCTAGCAGTGTCTTCTTTCAAATCCCCTGGATCATGGATATCATTGATATCCAGAGCTTTCACTTCATCAAATTTCTCCACTGGGGATTCAAGAACATGGTGATGTTGACTTTTTTCATCAATTCTAACCTTAAATCGTTGATTTTGGCTGGATGAATTAACTGCGAAATTATAACAATAATGAACTTTTGTTCTGAGTAATTTATCTTATTTTGATCAATTGCCTTAAAATATTTTTCATGTAATATGAAAAAAAATATCGAACATTTAATACAATGTAAGCGGTGTTCATTTAGGCCTTTTCTTTTCTTTTCTAATAATTATAATAACATATGGCATTAAAACAAGCTCTTTGCACATTCCGGAAATAAAAAAAATCATTTATCTTTTATTATAATTTCTGTATGTTTAAACAGATTGTTTTCACATCTCCTATAATTTCAGAATTTCTCAGGCAACAAAATTAATGAACATTTATCTTGTACAATGGACATAAACGTTGCTTTTAAATTGCAGAATGCAATTTTGAATTATTGATGAAAAGAAAATTAATTATATATTTTTTTTTCTGTGACAGTCCACAAATAAGTTTTCGGCAGTAGTAAATCCATTTCTCTAAAATGCAAATCCCCATGTTGTGACCTTGACGAAAAGTATAATTACCCGACATCATGGCAATTGACGATTAAAGTTAGCACGTCTTACGGTCACTCGAAGCTTTCGGTACAAAATATGTACATATTTACGGTTATGATGTAACCTAACTCCGGTTAAATAATTTGAACAACTTAAAATTTACAATACCCCAGGATGCTTTCAGATAAATCTTAACTTTTCTGGCTAAGTGTTTCTTGTGAAGAGTTTCTTATTTTCAATGAAAATCTTGGATTTCCAATCGGGGCCCAACCTTCCCCGGTCATGATTTTAAACTTCAGAATCTTCACTAACCAGGATACTTCAAACATTAGTTTCAGCTTTTCTAGTCCAGTTGTTCTTGAGAAGTAGATTTTATTATTTCATTATTAAACTTGGATTCTCTATTGTGGTCCTGTCTTATGGATGCTCCTATATACGTATTAGCTCTCGACCAAGTATTTCTATAGAATGCGATTTTTAAAGATTTTTTCCTAAATATTTCTATCTAAAACTTAGATTCCCTATTGTGACACCGTCCTACCTCCGGGTTCGGGTTATGATTAAGAACTATTCAGAATTTACACTAGTACTAATAGATGCTTCTATATACATTTCAGCTTTTTGGCCCAGTGGTTCTTAAGGCGAAGATTTTTGATGACCCCTGACTATTTTGGTCTTTTCTTGATTATCAAATTCAACCACAGGGTTAGGCCTTAAGTAAGGCCTTAGATGGAGCCTTCATTTTAAAATTTAAATTTCCCTTCACTTAAAGATCCTTTGTACCAAATTTGGGTAAACTGGTCACTGGTTCTTGAAATGAAGATGAAAATCTGAAAATGTACAGAGACGGACGGACAGACAGCTAGACGGACGGGTGACGGACAACGGGTGGTCAGAAACGCTCAATTAAGATTTCATCACAGTTGAGCTAACAATACCTTTGATTGTGTTTGACACATCAAAAACGTCAGTTTGGATATCTATTCCTCTGGTAGATTTTGTATTTTTCCGAATTTCCTCAAGATTTATGTCCTTTAATCTCTCTAGCAGTGTTGACTTCCCACTACCTCCACATCCTATCAACATCCCAGTGGCATGGTGCATGGTGGTTTTTCCCCTCTTGAGATTCTCCAGAAAATTTTTCACCGAGTCATCTCCTCTCATTATAACTTGTACTGGAATACCCACTATTAAAAAATCAAAACATCTCTAAAAAGTCTGATACTCTTTGAGTTTATGTTCAAAACACAAAAATGGGTAAGGACTCTATCACATCAAGCTGCGTTAGTTAGTCCATGGGTTATTCAAAGGATTCAAATTAAAAAAGGATCAGTTTGACGAAAAACTTTGAGTACGGACCCACCTTTCTTTCATTTTATCAATCATGTAAAGAATTTTAGCATACTGAAATATTGTTGTGAGATGTCATGTGCATGTCACGGACTTGCAGGTAGGCATACTTTTCATGAAGCGCCAGCGTGCTTCAAGAATATGCCTATGTGACAATTCTGTTTGATTCACAAACCAATAACTCACACAAAACTTCAAAACATTCCTTAGTCGTGAGCTGGCTGACAACGTTTTAATAAATCCATGCAAGCGCATTGTGATATCACAAATGGACGCTGAAGAAACGCCAATGGGCCGCAGTAATCGCTGTCACAAGTTTGTTTTGTTGCTGTACACCGTATATTTGCAGTCAAAAAAATCACAAGAAAATTAAATAATCTTATCAAAAGCGCCTTAAAGCACGATAGATACGCCGTGACATCTCCAAGGCCTTCGCGCGCTCTCCGTGCAAGCACAGTCTATTATCACTGCATGAATGCTGCGATCATTTGCGTCTTCAAAGCTTTTATACAGGACTTCCACTGCGTTGTAGGTCTCATCGCGCTGCTACAGCGATTATACTACGATTCTGATGCATTCGTATGACAGCGATCACAAGGCGCGAACTTTGTACATACCCAGAGTTCACTTCAATGCTTATTTACACATATCTTACTTTCATGTAAGTTTTGTTTTATTTCTGTGCTTTATTGGTTCTTGGGGAGAAGAATTTGAAATAATTCTTGCAATTATTAATTTTTTTAAACATCCCAAATCTTGAGAGGCTGTATGGTCCTTTTTCCTTTGTCAAAATTGCTTTGTTTTGTGTATAGTTGTGTTTGTTTTGTGATTCAAGAGAAGAAACTGTGAAATGTTTAAAAAACGTGAGTTATGTTGTAAATATCCACAGATGCACCAGATAAGCATCTTTGGTTTGATTATAGTTTCACCTTGCTTCTTCATAGACTGATTTTCTTTCTTTCTGGGGTAGAGGAAATGCATTAAAATAAGCTCAATAAATACCAAATGAACGTACTCTTGCTAAACACTAATTCATGTATTGATTGATCCTTCATTGTTGCATGTGTAAATATGTCTTCCCCAAGTCTTTCTATCAGCTGTTCTGCTTGATTTTGCGATAACCAACAAACTTCTTCCTCATCCTCTCTTCTCACGTAATTTGATGATCTACAATACTTTGCAACGTTTTCTTTATCTGCCAAATTTAGAAACAGATCCAAAAATTTTTGTTGCTTTGCAAATATAAGAAAACTGTAGTCTCTGAAAAAATCACAGGAAAATTCGAGATTGGAGCTGTCTTGCTTAAGTATTGATTTGTACTTTTTTATTTTGCCAGGTTCAAAATTCTTCTTAATCTTCTTTAATCCAAAAGCTTTAGCCACGGCATTATATTTCTCCATCCATTGTGTTTCTTCAAGATTTAATTTATAGTTGTGGCAAAGAAGAAGGCACATCAAAACTGCATCTTCATCTAAAAACAAAAATGAAAATTAATGCCTGCTTAGTGATTCAATTTTTCCCTTGAATGAGATAACACATTTGGTTCATTTTTGGCCCTGTGCAATTTTGAAAATCAGATAAGAACACATTTAAATCAGAACTACTCAGTTTTAGTTGAAGATGTGTTAAATTTCACTTGGACCCTTGGTGACTTCATATCAAATAGAAATGACGTAATTGATTGTCGTCTCCATGCATTATGACGTAATGAATTTCGTCATTTTATTTAAATCTTGAAAATTTCTTTAAGAATGACAAACATTTAAAACTGTTTGTTTTTTAAGTTTGGATTACCCCCCTTCCCTGATCTAAAATGTTTTATTGCAGCCCGGAGGACCGGGCTGCTCTATACATATAAGTTTAAGTGTTTGTGTATGGGGATTGGGGTGGGAGTAGTTATGTGGAATTAAAGGTTTTCTTAACATTGAAAAGATTGTTTATCAGAATGTTCTTTCCGTTTATAAATTACGAGATACATTATATATTTACTTCCATAAAGTGAATCTGTAAAAATATATAAGATTTTCATGTTTAATATTTAAAGTTACTTATCATTTCCTATCGAAACAACGACAGGTCCCTTTTTTTAGAACATCGAATTTTATTTCTCGGATAAAAACGTACTCTGCTCTGTTCGTGTTTTATATTCTAAAATTGAAAATGAATACATTTTTAAATATAAATGATTCATGTGTCTAACTTCAATTTATATTTTATGCAGCAAACATTTACTTGAGGAATTGATCAAGTTTAACATTGTATCGTTTTTGATTGATTTTTATCCGACTACAAGTTTTTAAAAATATATGCGACTAGACGCATGCCTTTTTACACATACATCGTAGCAGTTTGTTGATCAAGACTCATTTTCATTGTTTACTTTATATATTTCCCGGGCGACAATTGATGGTTACATCAATGTTTTCTTGTTATATAATGAAAGAACTTTTTCAGAAGGATATGGAGATAACGAACAGTATTCAATCTCAAAGTCCATTAAACAATATACAAAATCAGAGCAGGGCAAACACGGACCTCCGAAACATCAGAAGTGGGATCAGGTACCACAAAAGATTTTAATGAAAAATATTTTGGACCGCGGGGTGGGCTTATATTTTTATCAAAAGTTGAGGATGCTCATAGATCAAATTCACACATTTCCTTAAAAAAATCGAGAATATTGAAGTTTCACAACGCCCGAGTTTTTTAAATTGGACTCTCATTGACTTTTTTTTAATAGGAAATGATAGCACTAAATCAATACTTCATGTTGATGTTCGATATGGGACGTTGGGACTTGGTCGGTTAATTGGCCATTATAAGTGAACCTACCTCCTCATTTAACGAGCTCGGGGATGGGTCCTAATATTTAAAGTATTAAACATTATGTCAAGTATAATCTTATTATCTACACACATAAAATAATTCAAAAATTCAAAACAAAAAATCGTGTTTAATTTTCATGTTTTGGTGATACTGTTCATTCAGTATGACTTTCTCGCCCTGAAATTGTATTTTAATTATAAAACAGGAAGTTTTTCCTCCATTTTTTTATCCCAATAAATCATTTGACAATATGTTATGGTTATAAGCCGACAACTAAGGGGCGCCAAGGAGAGTCTAATATCTGACGTAAAGGACAGTTCTCGACCATGACTTAAAATATTTCTCAGGACCTTGGATCACGTATTTTAAAAGGTCCTAAATATAGTAAACATGGATCCTTCATCACCTGCAAACGGAGTGTTTATATCTCAGTTGATTCGATACGCAAGAGCATGCTCTAAGTATGAACAATCGCTAAAACTAGATGCTGTCATGAGACAGTAATACCCGCACTAAGGTGTTTGCCTCTAAATGCACACTTCTTCATATTGGGCTTTACCAAGGAAAAAGCAGGGGCGGATCCAGCAATTTTTGAAAGGGGGGGGGGTTCCAGGGTTATGCCCCTCTAACCCCCCACCCCTACATATTCTCAAGCAAAGATTCACAGACTTGTATGGAAAGATCTAAGGTTGTGGTAAATACTATCTATGTTTTATGTCCTTCAAAAAAAAGTGTACCCCCATTCCGAACAAAA